CATTGCAATCTCCCCCGCCCCCCACCCCAACACCCTCGCTTTCATGATTATTCAAATATTCATCTGTTCATGTATTCATTCAAAAACATTTGCTGGGCACTAGAGACACTGACACACCTACATTTACTCCAGGGGTGGGGGCAGACTCAGGAAAGGATTCCTGGAGGAGGAGACATCTAAAGTCAAGCTGAAGGGCTGAGACAAGGGAGCCAGGTACAAAGGTGGGGAAGGGGCTTCAGGTGGAGGTACAAATACGGGCAAAGCACCAGAGCGGGGAAGGGAGCAGCCCTTTATCCGATATCAGCGGTCAGTGAGCACCTGGTCCTGTGCCCAGCCCCCGCTGAATGCTGCTGTGGACACCGTATGACCAAGATAGCCCGGGCCCGACTTCATAGAGTTCACAGCCCAACAGGGGACAGACCCCAAATGGCCAGGGTTGTGATGGAGACTCGCAGGCAGAGAGGCCAATCAGGGCCTTGACGGGGGAGCCCAGGAAAGGTGCCTGCGCCAGCCGAGGAAGGGAGGGCGGGGAAGGCGTCCTGAGGAAGGGCCGTGTGAGCTGAGACTGAATGACTGATAGGAACTAGACTAGAGAAGAGGGAAGGGAACAGTTTTATGGGCAGAAGGAGCCGAATCCAAAGAGAGCTCAACACATAGGAAATGTCCAAGAGCTGAGAACGGTGTCCTTGCTCATACCAGTAGCTGGGCCCCAGGACCAAGCATGCCCCTTCTTTAGCACCTCCGTCTCGTTTATACCTTTACCGGCTCCTAGCAGACACCTTCTCTGTATCTATCCCTGGGCCGGGCTGTGCTGAGGACACAGTAGTGACAGTGACTGCCCTCACAGAACTAGCAATTGAAAGGGGACAGACGTTAAAAAAGTGATCAACAGGATGAGTCTATTATTACACACAGACCCAAGTGATATGAAAGACGGATCTAGGTCTATATGAGGGGCCTGGCATTTTGGTACTATCAGAATGATCAGGGAGGGCTTCCTGGAGGAAGTGACATTCGAACTGGCACCTGAAGGATATGTTGGGGAGCACAAGAGACTTGGTTGGAAAGTTGTAAGGAGGACATTCTGATAAAAGGGAAGTGTGTGGAAGGCCACCTGCCCAGTTTATCAGAATTCCGACTTAGGGAAGTGTCGAAGGCGGCGCCCCTAATTATTCCTTGGCCTTTCCAAACAAGCCTGTGCATATGCAGACCCCCAGGTGTTTACTGGAATCCTTATGCTTAATCCCTGGATGCCCCTGCCTAAGGACAGGGTAAACACGTGTCCTCCCGAGATTACTCATCCTACTGATTGTATCTAAAGATAAAATTCCAATAAAGGCCTAATGAGGCAGGCAAAAGAGGGGGCTCTGGCTACCAAAGCCAGGGCTCCCCAACCCTCTCTTGCACAGTCAAACTGTGTCTGACTAATGTGTTCATCCGTCATTCAGCAGCTGCTGCTCAGCCCCGACAAGGACACATAGGGATTCATGCAAAGCTGTGAGTGGTAGACAAATGAGAGTGGGTTTCAGGTGGAGGGAACAGCCTGTGTGCAGAGCTCCTTTGAGAAATTGGAGCGTGTGAGGGAAAGCTGAGGAGAGGTCATCAGGGCCATGAGGAGGGGCTGAACTCTGTTCTGAGAGCCCTGGGTACCTACAGGAGGGGCAAAGTCAGAGCTGAGTTTTAAGTTTTAAGTAGTTGAGGGTGGAGTCTGACTACTGGCCAGACTGGAGTCAGGAAGAAAATCCACCCTGTCTGCTCAGGGCCAGACAGACCAGGGAGTCTGCTGCCTGCTCTCCTGTTTCTCTCTGGGCCTCAGAGGGCAGATACCCTTGCTTGTTCCCATCGCAGGTACCAAGCATCCAGTCTTTTGCCGTTAAGTGAGCTGGGAGCTGTCAGCTGTGAGCTGCCCTTGAGCAGGTGAAGGAAGCTCCTTTCCCTAGTTTAGTGCGTTTTTGTCATAACTGGTATGTCTCTCTGTGCTCCTCTGTGTCTCTGTTCCTCCCTTTGTCTCTGTTTTCGTTCCTGAGCTCTGTGTCTCATCATCTCTGTCTCTATTTCTTTCTCTGTGTCTCTGGCTTTCCCTCACCCGAGAGGGTGTGGCCATGGGAAGTTGAGTTTAGAAGTTGGCACCAGTGTCCCGGTTCTGGCCAAGGCCACCTCAGTAAACACAGGACATCCTGTAGGGCAGGGGAAGGAGGTGGACGCTTCTGCTCAGGGACCACCCTCTCCCCACCCAGTCTGAGTTGGGCAGGAGCCAGGTTTCCCGGTGCAGCCAAGGGAAACTATCCTCACCTCCGTCCTTCATGCCTGCTCCTGCCCCTGGCCCTCTCAACTGAGCTCCATTCCCAGGGCCAAGCCATGTGGATGCTTTGACACACCATGTCCCTCTCTGGCCTTGGTGTCAACCGCAGGCCTGGCCCACCGTCCCCCAGTCTCCTAGCTAGAGCTGAGGTCTCGTCCTAGGCTCCTCCTCATTCACAGCTTATCAGTCCTCCACCTCTCCCCACGGCTGCTCCTGGCCTCCCTCTGGTCTCCTGGCCTCCAGTCTCATCT